AACAAAAAAATAATAATAATCAAGGACTAGATCATGTCAAGCAAAACAACTTTATAATACACAAACCTCCCATATAGTAACGATATATTAGAGTTGTCAAAGTAGGTTACTCAGCTTAATCCACCATGAGTTGGTGAGTTAAATGAACTGTGTAACGACCCACCCTAGGCCGTCACATCCAAAACTAACCAAAATAAAATAATATATAATAAAGAAAATAGAGCAAGGGCCAGCTACGCTAGAGTGTAAATATACAATAACATATAAATTGTTTCCAAAATATATAACATATTTTTATAACAGAGTCATCATCTTTAGTAAGATTATACAGTAATCCAAAAAGATAATATAATTACAATATCATGAAAGTATCAAAATAAGACACCCTAGGTGCTGGTCAAGCTCTAAGTCTAGCCACTCCTTAAAGCAGTTACCCAAAAAAGACTCCTTGCTATCGCAAAGCCTCACACCTGATCTGCTCCCCCACATAGTGAGATCATCACAGTCCACATCATGGAAATATAAGGGTTAGCACATATAAAACCAATCATAGTACAATAAAATGGAATATCATTAAACTAGATATTCATCAACAGTATGTATCCATACCAAGGGAAATGACAACATTATAAACAGTTATTTCCATGCCAAATATAAACTAATCCAGAATCAAAGGTATACACATCCATGCCAATGCATACATATTTTATGATAATAAAGAATCCATAACCAATGTATACAATCCATACCATATGTATACATATTTCACATCCAAAACAAAGTCACACCACTGTATAATCCCATGATGTAACCAACACATCCAAACCAAATGTTGGCCTCAACACATCCAAACCAAGTGTTGATTCGGTGAAACATGTCATCAACCCATGTCACATACCTAACCTCTCATGAAAAATATACAGTTGGATTACGTCGTCACGTAACCCTGATGATCGTGGCCACTTCATCCATCGGTATGACTCGGCCTTGCCCCCATACCGGTAGCAAATAGAATACTTAGAGGAGTACTTCAGAATCCACCTAACATCTGAAATGGTTTATTATGTAACCTTTGAAAAGTTCCATATTGGAATCCTCACCATGGGACTCCTAATTCCATATTTTCCAAAGATTATATCTTGATCTCACCAAGAGATCTAATCCATACCATAACCTTACTCCTCTAAGTCCTATTAGCTTTCCAAACCACACACACATAGCATATTCCATAATTACATAAAAACTTTTCCATAACCATACCAAATCATTCAATATAATAACATAAATAATTAAACACCTAAAAACAACCATCAACTTAAACACATGACAATCTTCATATAAACAAAATAGCATATTAAAATATTATACTACCCCTATCATGCTCATACATACTAGATTAAGTCTTATAAGTACTAACCTTACTTGGATAAAAAGGAATCGAAACTAGGGCAGAACCTCCTCCTCACTTTCTCTCTCTAAGATCTCCTCTTCTCCAACTCTCCATTTTCCAACCCCCAGCCCCCTATTTATAGAATTCTGCTTACCTAACCCGGAACGGCCCGTTCCGAAAGCGAAACGCCCGTTCTGGGCTCGAAAAATCTACGCAAATTTTTGAACTGGAACGACCCGTTCCAAAACCAGAACGACCTGTTCCGGGACTCATCTAGAACAGCCCGTTTTCCTTCCTAAACGGCCCGTTCTCCTTCCAGAACGGCCCGTTCCAAAACCAGAACGGCCTGTTCTCCTTTTGGAACAGCTTGTTCTCGGCCCGCTCTCAAATTTAAACCTAGTTCATTTTTTTGTGCTTAGAACGGCCCGTTCTGCTTTTGGAACAGCCCGTTCCAAATTATCAAAACACCCTATACCTTTATAAAAATTTACGAAAATGCCATTAATAAATAATAATAAAAAAATGGGTATTACAAACTGACTTATTTAAATTAAAAAAAATACTTATTCAACTTTATAAAAAAAACACTTCTTATAATTTTATATCTTATAATTATAACTTTATAAACATTATGATAAAAAAAACTGTAAAAAAAAGCCATCAACCATAACTAACTGAATTAATTTATAATATCAAATAATATCATAGTAGTTGTATAAAATATTAATAAATAATATCAAATTGACACTAATTATCATAATTTAAAATTAGTATGTATAAAATTTAGTTGATGGTATAAATATATGACCATGTAAACTAACATTTCAGAATCAAAAAATTTAAATTAAAATAAAAGTAAAAGACTTAAGTATATTTTTAGTCTCTGTAAAATAAGCATGTTTTGATTTTGGTTCCTAATTTTTTTTCCCCTAATTTTCATTCTTCTAAAATTTGTAAACATTGTTTTTGGTGCTTGAAAAATATTTGTTATCCTTGTAAAATAAGTAAATTTTGATTTTAGTCCTTGTAAAATATTTTTCTTTGATTTTAATCTTTCTAAAATCTAAAATTACTATTTGTGATCCTTAACATTTATAATATTTTTTTGGAGTTGTCAACACACTAATATGGTATCATTAACTAACAGTTATGCATAATAGTTGTGATAATCACTTAACCTTTTGATAAAAAAACAAGTAATTAAAAATAATTATATAATAATAGGATAAAAACAATAATTCTAAATTTAACGAAAAAAAGCAAAGAAAAAAAACTTACAGAAATCAAAATCAAATTTTGTTCATTTTGTATGAACCAAAAACATATTTAAACAAAAAACAAACTAGATTGGCCAATTCAATCATAAGTCAACCCGACTGATCACTACAAATTATCCTCTTAATGAGTCGAATTGTAAATGAGTTAAGTAAACTTTTTCTAGCCTAACTTGACTCAAAATCACATAGACCAAATTAACTCATAAATTTTATCTTATTTTAAATTTTTAACGACTTTACATTATATTGAGAACTCGTTCACCTACCTCACTATGTATGCCCTATGTTATGAACTTACTAATCCACATTCCATAATACAAGGTACAACATTAACAAAACACACCTTAGAGGGGATTTTTATTTTAACAATTTAACTTCAATCCCAAACTATCAACCTTCTTTATCAACTTTGCCTTCAACTTTTTAATCTTGTTGATCTTCTCTACCTTTCAAATTTCTTCACTCTATTTATATTAGTTGAAAATACTTTATAAAACTCATCAACCAACACAAAACAATCATATGTAAGTTGCCTCATCATCCTGCACTTTGGAAAAAAAATAAAAAAATAATGACATAAACATGAAACTTTTTTCATGTAATAAAATTCAAGAATACATTTGGGAGAGGACATGCACAAAATGGTCTTTTGGGTTTCTTCTCCACGTGTTATAGCAATTTGTAAATTTTTTTTCCACAAAATCAAAATAACCTATTTTATGCTTTGAAACTCATTCACCCTCAAGTTTGCAAACAAACTCTCACTCATGATTTCTTAATTTCGTGTTCAACACAAAAATAGTATATTAGTTTTCACCATTGTCGTCATCTTGTGCTATTATTCTTCGAAGTTTGTTATGAAAACTTAGAGAAGCAAATGATGAAAACAACTTCTAAAATTAGAAGAGAGAAACAAAGAGATGTTATTAATGCTAGTCGTCTCATATCGATCCTAAATTATATCAACTTAATCCATATGAAGTGAATACACATGTAGACATGTTTAGTGATAACATGTCACATACACGTAATTAATATCTTTAAGTGACAGGATCTGATAGTGGGACAAAAAATTGATTAACATTTTATAACTCAAATTATATAATTGATTTATTCTTATAATTTAGGGCCTACTCGTGTGTTTACTCTACATGTGTACTAATAAGTAATGTTAATAACTTTCAAACAAAACCATCCATACAACTAATTAGCAAAATTTAAATCATTCCAAGTGTTAGTTTATATATCCATTTCTCTTTACCAAAAACAGCAAGTGATTTGATTTATATAATACTAATGTTTTGATGGTCCGACTCAAACATAGAGTTATTATTAAAATATCATTTTATTTTTATAAAAAATGGACCATATAAGTAAGAGGTATATATATTTTTTTATTAAATTTAAAACATATTTCTATTTTCCTAACTACATTCAATTAAACGTTCTCAAACGAGACGATGCAAATAATTGAGTTCTTTTGACATAATTTTTTTTTTTTGGTTCGTTAATCATGTTGGTTCAATTTTTTTAACAAATTAACCTCTTCCAATAAATATTGAAAAAAATAAGTGATGCATTATGTTAAATAATTTTATATTGTGAGTGCATCACCATTAAATTCATAAATGTTTTGTCTTGTATATAAATTAAGAATTAAACTTTCAACCACATATTTAAAAGATAAAATTATCTATTAATTATATTATGAATGATGTTACATGCACAATAAAATTTATATGACATTACTTTTGTTTTTATCTCTCTTTATCATCGATAATATCTCTCCATAATAAATGAAGTGATGAAAAAAGATAGACATAGAGCATGTTGTAAAAATTATTGTAAATGTAGCATTATTTTTATACTATATTATTATATTATCTCTAATTTCAGACTCAACTTAAAATAGTAAATTTTATTTCTTTATATGAGATCTAATTAATATTGTTCATATTTTAATTATTTTTAAATTAAAATGCTTATAATTAAAAGATAATATATTAATTTAATAAAATGCATTTATAAATACTTAAACATTATATATTATGATTGATTAAGAGAAAAATAAATATTAATTAGGAAAAAGAAATAACAAAAGACATGTATTTTAATTTGTTAAAAAATATATAAACAATTGTTAAAAAAAATTTAATTAAAAAATATATAAATAAAATAATTTATTATTACGAACTAAATTAATTATTATTTTTTCATTTCCGTGAATAAAGTACCTTATCATCACATCACAAATATCTATTCAGTTGCTATAAATACTTTCTACTATGAAAAAGTTAAAAAAAAAAAAAAATCAAAAAGAGGTTCTCCTTAAACCCTAAACCTTTAGTGGCAGCTATGTTATTTTCAACTACAATGCAAACCGTGTGTAGCTTGTAAACCATTCTTCTCTCCACGCAGGTTTCATCTCAATTCATTTCCATGGCGCTCGCTGCCTTAAAATTCCTGCGCAAACCCACTCTTCATCTTCCTCCCACTCCCTTCCAATGTGTTCGCAAGTTTGTGCCCAAATCTGTCGCCGCGGTTGAGGCCGAGTCCCTCACAAACGAACAATGCAGTGCCTCTGTTCGTGAACAAGGCAAGTGAAGGCTCAACTCAGTTTTCAGCGAACTTAGGGTTTGTTTTTTGAAATTTTGTATCGAAGTTTGTCTTGCATCGTGTAATAATGAAATGGATTGTGTTGTTAAGTTCATGAAAAAAACAAGAAGGCCCCGGCGTGGAAGAGGTTGAAGTTCTCAGAGCTTGGGATTAGTAAGTCAATGATTGGAAGCACTACGAAAAAGGTTCTTAACGGGCTGAAGAAAAATGGTACATACTAATGTCACTCATTTTTGCTGGGTTTTATATGGAAGAAGAAAGGAGGAGCGTTTCAATGATTTTGTGTTAATTATAAAGTGAAATTTGTTGATTGCTGGGGTTTTGATTTAACACGTATGCCACTAGTCTTTCTCAACCTTTAAGCCTGCCTCTGCTGGTGTACTAAAAAAACCTGCATGTGATTGAATTGAATAACCTCTATGCATACTTACTAACAGCACATTCTTAGTTTATCTTTGAAATGCTGTTAAAATGTTAGCCGCAATAAACAAAATGCCATAGCCAAGCATGATCAGCCAATTTTGCAATAAAACATGACTGATCAATACTGTTACTCAACTATGTAGTAATTTTCAGATGCTTTGATTGTATTGATATGGGTGTGATTGTATTTGATCCCGTACTGATTATGTCTGCAATGCTATGCTATCACGTCTTTATATATTTCTGTTATTTTTTATGGTTAATATTTTTGCTTGATTCCTCTATTTTGAACGTCTTGCTTTTGAAATGTCTAGAGATTGTTTTCTTCTCCTTGTAGGGTATGATGTATACCTTGTAGGAGGTTGTGTGCGGGATCTTATTCTAAAGCAAACACCAAAGGACTTTGATATTATAACTTCAGCTGAGCTTAAAGAGGTTACCTACTTCTATTTTATTTTATGTTTTTAATTTTTTTGAGTTATTTATGAAATAACAGTTTTCTGGACAGTGCTATATAGATAAAATATTATGTTAATTAAATAGCAGTTAGAAGGGCAACAAATGTGTTTACATTGGCATTTGGTTTTGCATAAAAGTTTATTTATGCAATCTCAATAGAAAATTTAAACTTCTATTTTGGGCTCAATATATTTGGTCCTTAAAATTACATGATGAATAATATATATTGACTCATTTTGCAGGTTATGAGAATATTTTCATGGTGTGAGATAGTTGATAAATGTTTTCCTGTATGCCATGTTCACATGGATGGTACCGTTGTTGAGGTTGGTATGTTCTTGTTAACTCAAAATGAATTTTAGCTTGGTCTTAATTTTCTCTACTGAATGATTACTTGAATTTATCTCTATTAAGTGATGAATTTCTTTGATTGCTTTTTGTTTTTGTTCATAATGTTATCTCCCTTATGATTAGGTTTCAAGTTTTGATACTACAAAGTGCAAGGTGGGTTTGGAATTCTCCCATCATACTGAAGTACCTAATGACTGTGACCAGAAGGATCATCTTCGTTGGATGAATTGTTTAAACCGAGACTTCACAATTAATGGGTTGCGCACCTGCCCCTGCAACTTTAAAGATTGAAAATCTCTCTCTTTTTTTGAAAGGGGGGGGGGGGTGCTTGTCTGCAATTGTCTGCTCTATAACCACTCTGCTTAGTTTAAAATTCAATATACTTTAGTTTGTACAGCTCTTATGCTGTTAACAAAGTTCACGCTCTTGCAGGTTGATGCTTGATCCATATGCAAGAATTGTGTATGATTATTTTGGAGGAATAGAAGATACTAGAAAGGCTAAAGTGTGCATGTATCTCATAACATTTGTTGTTTCTATTTTTTACTTTTGCTAAGTAGCAGTTTGAGGCTTTGTAACAATTTTCTTTGTGAATAGGTGCGAACAGTAATCTCCCCAAAAACTTCATTTCAGGAAGATTGTGGTGAGTTTCCTTGATCAATTAACTCATCCTGCTTTGCTGTATTTTGTGCATTTTTAGGTGTAAAGGGCATTCAGCTTGCCAGCTCTTTGGATTTCTTAGATCTGTCTGATACCATTTTTTTTTTCTGCAGCTCGCATTCTACGTGCAATTAGATTTTCTGCTTGCTTAGGATTTAGTATTTCAAAAGAAACAGCTCGTTTTATTAAAGACCTGTCTTCTTCAGTATTAAGCCTTGATAAGGTATTTGTTAATATATAAAAAATATTCAATAGAATCTTGATTATATCTTTAAATAATTCTGAGTGTCTTATTTTATCTCCCAGGATTGGTTTCCACATTACCTAATATAATCACAATTTGTTTTAGTTAGGATTATGATACAATTTTGATATAAAAAATGTTATGGCTTTATGTTTTGTACCACATTATAACATCTCACATTATACAGGAGAATATTTTTCAGTCTCTATTCTCTCAATTTCCCTTTCAACGCCTAAAAATCCTATAATTTAAATATGCTATTAGAGTAAAACCATTCTCCATGGCTATGCTAGTTACTATTCTGTTTCTGAGTTTGCTAAAATCTGATGCTTTATTTTATTACCATGTTTTTCCCTTATGGAAATCTATACAAGAAGATGGTCTTGGCTATGGAAAGACAGACCGAAGCATAGCCAAATTGTGAAATGATAGGCTAAATGGAGCTAATCTGCTGAAAGATAGGATGAAACAGTCATTTTGTGGAAAGTCATGATGATATGATAGAAGGACTCTCAATGACTGTCAATGGAACAAGAGCTGAAGACTAAAACTCAACATGGCTAGACTCACAAAGGAGAGTTTTGGGAGCAAACAAGGAATAGAAAAACAAAAAAATAAAGTATAGGTTTAGTGGTATGAACTCCATAAGACAGAAGGAAGAAATTATCCTTACGTTGGATACCATGAATACCATGTTGAAATAATAATGTTTTAAGCAGAGAATGGATAAAAGACAGAATAATGGTTTTGAATGATATTTTCTTGTGAGCAAAAAGAAATCAATGAACATAATGAATTATTGAAACCACCCTCCATATGATCATCCAATATATTCCCATTTGTGTTAAAATAATGTTTGACTAGCGGAAGTTACACTCCGATCACAAATTCGTCTTTGATTGTCAATTTTAAAACACTGTGGGGAATATGTTCATGGACAAAAAAAAAATATACTCTTAAGATATTCTAAAATACAATAATGATATTGCAAGATATTTTATAGTTATTCTAACAATATGTATACCAATGTCCTAGCTAATTTGTTTTCCTTCTTTAATTGTTTTAGGGTAGGCTCTTGATGGAAATGAGTTATATGCTAGCATATGGTTCTGGGGAAGCTTCTTTGAGGCTATTATGGAAATTCGGTCTTCTAGATATACTTCTCCCCTTTCAGGTAGTTTTTTATTTTGCATTTAATTTCTGAATCCCAATCATGGAATGTAGGTTTAATTTAGGTTCAATATTACAGGCTGCTTATTTTTCTCACCATGGATTTCAAAGACGGGACAGAAGAACCAATATACTCCTGGTAATCCCATACCTCTGTGGAATTTAGACTTATGATGTATGCAGGATTAATCTAAGTGGAATAACATACTAGAGATCAAGCTTCCTACGCTAACTCGATAACTTGTTTGCTATCCTGTCTATCAAGTTGCATAAAAAAGATGTACGTGTTTGGAAATTAATTCAAGCCTTCCCCTGATATCGCATAATCCTTGAATATCCTATAAACTAGAATATGCAATATGATGAGTTCCTTCGTTGCTGATGACATGCATTTTTTTGGGGGGTGGGGGTATTTAACTCGGTTTGAATACCTTGACAAAGAATTAGCTCAATTAGTAATTCGTTTCTTATTTTAATCATTTTTGGGTCGTCAACATTAAAGTCTACCAAATTCTTCTTGCATATGAGAATAGGCTTCATAATGCATGTACCTTTATTTCCTACCTATTCATTAATAGTGTTTGGATGGAGGATTTTAAGAGAGTAATTCAATTTTTATTTTTTATTTTTATTTTTATTTTTATTTTTATTATTTTTTATGAATTTGAAATGCTTTGTTTGGATAGAGAATTTTTAAAGAAATTGAAATTCAAGTATTTGTGAAATTCTTTAAAATAGTAGAATTTTAAATTCTCTCAAAAAAGGTAAGAATTTGAAATTCTTTATATTTTTTTTTCTTATCTCACTTATATATATATATATTAATTATTATATATTCAAAAATCAATTTTAAATTATTAGATATGTATAATATTAAAATTATTTTAGATTATTAAATATTTAAAAATTGGCTAATGCTTATTTTTATAAAGTTCAATGTTAAAATTTCAATATATATAGAATTAAATATGTTTTAGTATATACAACAAATTTTGACACTAGGGACTAAAATGTTAATGAGATGAAAAGTTTAAGAACTAAAAGTGAAAATTGGCAAAATTTCAAAAAATAAAAATTAGTAAAAAAAAATTATTCAAAGACTAAAAGTGAAAACTGACGAGAGTTTAAGAACTAAAAACATATTTAATCCTAAATATTTTTTTGGGTAACCATGTTAGTGATACAAAGTATCCATTGGCGTTGCCAATTAGGCGATTATTAATCTCCATCAGAAAACTTAACTGATTATTAATCAGCTTTAGTAAGGTCTTCTCTTGCAGCTATAGTTTTTTCATACACAAGACCCAAACTCAAGATCTTACGAAAGAGGATTGAGTTCAATACCACTCAGATCAATGACTTGTTAGTATTAATCACACACACACACACATATATATATGTGTGTGTGTGTATCAATTTTGCTTATGATGGGAATTAAATTACCTTGTCCATATTAAAAATTTAAAATTTGAGAAATTTGAATTGATTTATCAAAAAAAAAAATATTTAATGAATGATGAAAATTAAAATTAAACTAATTCAAATTCTAAATTTTTTCAAATTCCTTGAATTTCTTAATTTCCCATCCAAACACAACCTAAGTCTTTTAAACAGGTGACCAAAATCTTTGAATTTGCCAGTACTCAGTTGAGGGCAGGAGTAAGGTTGGTATTTCCTTCCAATTTTAATGTGGCTTATCAGACTTATCACATCATAATAAAATTTGTTTCTTGGGTGTTATTGTAAAATGAATGACATAATAGCACCACATTGACACTTTTCTTGTTGGATCTTTTGGAATTTTATTGCAGTCTTTGTTCTCCAATTTGGATAAACTTTTGGAACCTAATCGTCCGTGTCATAATAGCTTATGGTAAGATTTATGCAACTACAATGGCTTTAACATAATTGTAATGCTATGAGAAGAAAATCCATAAAATTACTTTCTGTAATTTGCACCAGAAATGTAGTTAAGCCTTCTTTGAGGATTAAAGAAACTCACTTTTCTGACTCATTTGTCATCAGTTGAAGCCTATGGTTTACTTCAATTTTCCTTTCTTTTTCTTTATGCAGTAGTTTATATTACAATCCTTTTGGGCTTAAATATGTTTGAGATCTCTCAAATATAGCCGTGTTCGGTTTTAGACCCTGCAAATTTTTTTTTATGCCTGCAATGTTCATTTTCGCCTGTTTTGGTCCTTGCCGTGAACCTGCCTTTAGCAATATATTTTACGTCCCTGTAAATATAATGATTTTATTTTTATTTACTTATAAAATATAGCAAATTTTGTCTTTAGTCCTTGCAAAATGCATTGATTACTGTTTTTAGTCCCTGCTGTCATGGTGGAGCCCAAAACAAGTGAACAACAAACATTGCAGGGATAAAAGAAAAACCACAATTTTTTTTACATGGACTATAAACAAAAAACCATTATATTTTCAAGGACATAAAACATATTCAAGTCTTATATGTAACTTTTTTCAATACCTATTTTATTTTATTTTTTTCTGTTGCAAGAGTTTTGGTTCTTCAAAAACAAAAATCTCAGATGCTTTGGAGCCCTTGAATAGTTAAATTTAGTAACTTTCACGATTTGAGTATAATATAAGTTTTCTTTTTTTTAATTCTCTTCAATGGTAAGAGTTATTTATGAACATTGTTTTTCTTTCTACTGGGTGTAGTGTGACGATTTATTTTACTATCAGTTATACATTGTTAGAACTCAGGAGTATTAACAAGCTGATTACAAGTAGGGCCGACAAAACAAAGTTCATGTGGAATCTATGTTTTCAGGGTTGGTATCCTAGCATTACATAAAACATTGAGTGATCGACCAAGGGACCCCTTGGTAGTTGCTGCGTTTAGCCTTGCAGTCCATAATGGTGGAAATTTGTTGGAAGCTGTAAACATAGCAGGGATGATCAACAAACCACGTGATGTCAGATTTCCTGAATTATTAGATCCTTCAGGTCTGGATGCTGAGGCATTGGAAGCTGAGATTCTGGATCTTGCTGAGTCTGTTAGAGGGACAATGTTGCAGATGACAAATGAGTATTTTGTGTCTCAGGCTATGGCTGACTATCCTCAAGCGCCTCATTCGAATCTGGTGAGCAACTTTTTCCTTGAATTCTATGTATACTTGATAAGAATGTTGTCCAGTAGATGGACTAAACTAGGATATAACTGAATTTTTCACCATCCCATTAAAAAACAAGACTTACAATTTTCCCCACCAATAAGCACACATATTCGTGAGCAACACATGAATGTTTGCAGCAGTTGGGTTTCTTTTAATTTAAATTATATTTCATGCTAACAAGGAAGGTTCCTTGCTAGTCTATAACTAGTATCTTGAAGTTAAGAATTTAATCCATTCCCATCCCCAAGTGTCAACCACGGGATTTCTTTTTCAAGTACATAAAGAAATTGAAACATTAAAAGATGTATATTTTATTTTTCAACATATTTTTGCAAGGAGTCCATGTCATAGTTGTTGGAGTTGCATGATTGTATATGTTTCAGCAAGCTAGTGATTCATATCATTTGATGAATTAGAGATAGAGATGTCTTTGAATTGTGCTATTCCTGCATGAATCCGTGTGATTCTGTATCATTAATGCAAATTACACAATTTGTGATTATTTTCTTTTCTTTTCTTTATAATTTGCATTTTTTTCACGAATTCTTATGAAAGAAATAGTTAGATAAGCTTAAATGATTAAATGAAAAGGAACTAAAGGAATTCTCTTGAACACATTTTATTTGATTCTTTCGATTGTTCTATTTTCATTGGGCTTCATTGTCACATCTTCCCTCTATGCACCCTATTTGGTTCATCGGCTGGTCTGTTGCTCTATATTTATTATTTTTGAAACAAAGGCTTCATGCAGTCACTCACTCATGCAGTCACTCACTCTCCAGGGATTTATTTGACTATATCTTGGCTTCGTTTTCATTCTTCTTAGACATAGGCTTTATGCAATCAACTTTATGTGCCATAGACGGATGTTACCTAAAAACATTATACTGATATTGATCATAGATTAAACGTCCAATGTACAAACAATGTGGGGTATTCTTAGGCTGAACTACCATTTAAGAATTATGACTTATGGCTCATTGTTAATTGTGTTATGGGTTTTTTATTTATTAGCTTCTGCATAAGTTGATAATGAGACCTAGTTATGACCAGGGCTTTGTCTTAAAAAATTTGGCGCCTTAGACAAAATTAGAGCGTTTTAGTGTAACAACAATTATTAATACTTGCAGTATTTTTCTAGGTTTGAATTGTAAAATCATTTATAAAAAAATTATAAATTTATAATCAAGTAATTTTAATATTTCATTCTGAATAAATAATATGACTAATTTATTTAAGTAATCTTATAATATTGATTTAAGATACAATTTAAACAATTTTAATTTTTAAAGATTCTTTTAGTAGTTTTAATTATCGTTGGTATTGTCAATAATAATTGTATAAACAATATGTACATTCAGTAACAATTTTAATCTTTGATATGATTTAGTATGTTTGGCCATTGCAGTATTAATTTCTTCTACTAAAACTTCTTTCAATACTTCCAATTTTAAAAATAAATGAAGAACATCAATGTTACTATATTAAAATGTTTGCCAAATTTTAAAAATTAATAAAAAAATGAAAAAAAGATAGTTATTAATTAACATGGGAAATAATTTATTAGTAAGGAAGGAATAAAATATAATGTACAAGTTACGACTATTTGTGTTGCATCATTTACCACTTCACTGTAATCAAAACCGAAGTCATTCTCCTTTTCCTTTTCTAGAGAGAAAATATAACCATTATTTTTTTTTAATAAGGAGGTTTATTCTTTCTTACATAGTTTCCTATAGGAGTAAAGTAGTATTTCTACTAATGACTTCATATTTAAGTTGGAGGTTAAACTCTATTACTTGATTAAAAAATATAAATATTGAACCACTTGTGTTATAAGGACTTTTAGTAGATAGCAATCAATCTAACGTTGCTACAATTCCATCATATCTCAAATTTTCATTTTGTTACAATATTATATAAAAATAACTAACAGCCTGATACTAATTGTGGGTCTAAGGAACTTGCCTTAACTGCTTGCTCTATACACGATCATGGTTATGACTTATGATTTAGGTTTTTTTTTTCCTTTTTTTTTTTTTTGGAAGAACTTATGAACAATTTATTTTTATTTATCTTGTTTTATAAATATTTATGAGTGTTTGCAAATTTATAAAAGTTCATAAGATATTTTAATCTTATTTTGATAAGTTGTTTAATATAGTTTATTATTTAACTTATGTGAAAACTTATGAGGAAATATCTAATTTTGAATTCTGTCAATGATGTAAATAGTATTTATTTATATATTTTTTTGCTTAAATACGTTTTTAATCCATCAAATTTATTTTAAATTTATTTTTGGTCTCTCAAATTTAATTATTTTTTTAGTCCTTATAATTTTCAAAAATTTTGTTTTAGTCCCTTAAATCACCAATAACATTTGAAAATAATAAATTGAGACAATTATGCAGCATCAACTAAGTTTAATGTTATGCTTTCACTAACTGAGACACTAATAAGTAGATTTTATATAACAATGTTTGACAAATTTTCTAAAATAAATGAGTTCAAAGGTTAAAACAAGATTTTTTGAAATTACATTGATTTTAAATTTGAGGGACTAGAAATAAATTTATCTTCAATCTGAAGGACTAAAAACATATTTAAGTTTTACTTTTTTTTTATTCTTTCACTAAAAATCAGTTTCATAGTTTTTTCATGACTCTTTCCAAAAGTTTTTGTTCCTCTTTATTTTTCTCTTCTCCATTTTTTTTCCTACCCCATCCCCTCAAAATCCACATTCCTCAATTATAGAAAATCTCATAACTTCTTGTTTCTCTAAATTAGTACATCTAGAATAATTTTGTTGTTGATATTTATATAATAACTTTTTTATTCATGATTTTATAAAATATATAAAATTGATTTTTATTTTTATTTTTAAATTTATGGTTCTTAATTTTTAATCATGATTATTTATATAATTGATTTCTCATATTTTATTTTATTATAAACTGAAATTATGTGAATGATGACTACTAATTTTTATTTTTTATTTTTAATATATTGTGATGTATAATGTCATTTTTAAAAATTATTTAGTTACTTATATATTTTTTATTTTATTTTCAGTTGAAATTTAATTTGTAGTTTTTTAATTTTAAAATGAGATATTATTGTATAAATGTTTAAATAATGATACATTTAAATAATTTAAAATTATATAAGTATTTATTAACATATATATTCAAATACAATAATTTTTAAAATTTTAAGCACTTATAATATAAATTCTTGTTATATAAGAATTTATTAAATAAAACTTTAATAGTTATTTTTCTCCACGGGCCATAAACTGTTCTGTCAATTCACAGTTCAAATTGTTAAATTGAGCAATAGACATCATTTATATGATATATTAAGATTTTTTTGTTGTCTCTGAATCTTATGATTTGATACTATTTATGATTCATGATTCAAAAATCTGCATTTCGATTTATGATTTGTTAAAATTTGTCTGGGTCTTCTAAATTATTATATAAATATATTATGGTTTAATGCATTCTGTCTGACATGATATACCAGTGTAGACATGGGATATCACTCTAGTTTTAGATTTAGATTTTGCTTTAAATTTAATTTGATGTTATAGACTCAATTTCTGTGCCACGTCTTGTTTTTGACTGATTAGTGTAATACAGAGTATAGAAGAACTTTTCTTGATTAGTTTTTTTAATCTTTGTCAATTTTACAGGTATTCATCCCGTTAGCATTATACCTAAATACATACACCATTTTCGACTGTGTGAGAGTGAGTGCCAATAAGAAGTTTTTGTCAAAGAAAGGCAGAAAAATTGATTACGAGTCCTTGGCTCAGGGTAGGCCGCATGAAATACGACATGTTTTTGCAAGGATTGTATTCGATACCGTATACCCACATCCACTTCACGAAAATCAGTCATTAAGAAGCAACTGTATTTCTGAGGGAGGCTAGTTTGACGTTTTTATCAGAAATAATGAGAAAAATGCTGCTGAAGTAGGCATTTTATCAAAGGGAATAGTATGATCAAAATTGGAGTAGTTTGGTGAAATGTCTGAATTCCTTGCTCAAAGCAGTAGTCGCAGGAATTATCATCAATTTCTTGTCAACTTTTGAGAGGAAGGAGAAGGAAAAGGAGTAGTGCTATGCAATGTGGCAGACACGCTACATTACATAGCCAGCAGATAATAGAGAGGAGCGTTTTTTCGATTGTAAAGGAAAGCTTAGATCTCAAGGTATGCTCCAAGCATCCCACACTAAACATAACTAATGACATGTATTTAGCAATTTCAAATGTCGTCATAGAATGGCTTGGCCTGAAAACGATCCAGACTACGAAGATGTGACGATGCTCCCCTGCTTGATGATGGCGTTGCCTCCATTAGGTTTGTTTTTAGTATTATTTAACATGGTAGGGGTTAAAATGTTTTTACTTTTTTAAAACATTCAAACAATGAAATTATAATTCTATATCCCTTTTTCTGTCTTAGATTTTTTGCATTTGAAAGTTACTTTGAACTTGTTATGGACTGTGATTAAGCTCTGTTCTGCATCATTAGTAAGCCCAAACATGTATATGGAAATTTGACTAAAGTTGTATGGATAGACACCGAAGTAAAATATAATCACTCATGAGGGGTCTTGAACTCATTAACACATTCTGATTCAGGTCTGACACTTGCATATATACCTTTAATGTCATTGAGAAAGGAGGAACACATTTATTACACATAATGAGCATTAGAGTGTTCTTCTAGATATTTCCCACCATTGTTCATGTAGTTCAAGAAAGAGTTCAAATCGTCATCTACCGATGTAGACCGACCAACATTAGAGTGTAGACATATTGTCTCACCTACTTCGGACAAATTAGAATCCTAATTATTTTAATTCCAATCAATGAATTGTTTAAAGGTGGGAGTAGGAATGTCAAAAAAAATCTACACTAGGATATTTGCAAATAATTCATTATGGATAAAAAATAAATGTTGTAAATGGATTATCGCAAATAACAGATATGGATATTTTTTATATTCACATGCTTATATGAGTTATAATATTGTACTTTACAGTGTTTTTACTTGTTAATATTCAATTTATTTTACAGAATTTTATAACTTTCAAAAGAAAAAAAAAACTATCATCCAGTTTAATTGTTTAAAAGTTTTTTTTATACAGATTTTTTTATTCAGATTTTATTTTGCAGAAGTTTATAATTTTTAAAAGAAAAACTGTCATCCAGTTTAATTGTTTTAAACTTTTTTTATGGAGATTTTATTTTATATGTGGAGACTAGGAGGTGAACTGAATGCAAATTCATATACAGTTCAGAAATCGTAGGGCAGAAGCAAGAGTAAAGTTTATTCTAACAATACCGCCGCCAAGGTCCATTATAATTAGTAAATTGTTTGGTTTTTTTAAGCATGCTGACGTTAAGAAGTTTGATTATTTATTCATGTATATAAAGTAAATTTTGTTAGGATAGTTAAGAAAAAAAACCACATTTTAGATGAGCCATGCTCTAAGACAAGGGACTCCATATGATATTTTTAGGATCGATAATCACAATGTTAAATTAATATATTTTGTCAGTGAAAATCACTTCACAAGAATACAAATTAATCTTTAATCATCAATTCTGAAATACTGCCTGAAATCATAAATCATGTTTGTAAAAAAATACATTTTTGTAATCTTTAAGTTCAGCAAGAAATTAGTCTTTGATTTTTGATAGATTGAGAATATCCTTGATTAAAATTAAGAATCTAATTTAATTTTATAAAAATAATTTATAAGATGAGAATTATTTATTATTTATATATATTATTATAGTGTTATTTCTAATTGATATGAAATGTTCAACACCTCCCTTAACCAAGAATTATGATCCAATAATAGATAATTTAATAAATCCATTAATAATGGTCAGGAAACGTTTCAATATCGTATTAAAAAAATGAATTAAAAATCTAATTTAATCTTATAATAAATTTATATGATGATAATTACTTTTCAGTCTATATAATTATGATCTCGATATTCAAATAGTTTAATTATATTAGTCAAAGTTTAATTACCATTGAATGGTGGTACTGTGCATGGGTTGTCTGGTTTTTCATATTAAATATTACATTTTACTGATACATATTTGTTTTCATCGCTTAGAAGAAATGATGTGGGTCTTGTGGCTTTATCATGGTGCTTGGCGTCTACTTTATGGTGGGGTATTAAAATTTAAAAAGTTAAAAGCCATGCCTTAATTAATACGTATAGCTAATTCATCAAATGAAGATGGTGCTATCGTAGCAGATCATAAATACGAACTATGATTCTACTGTTTAGGTGGAGAATGTAGCCAGATTCAAGTTTTGTCGTGTTTTTGGGTTTTCGCTGTGTTCATATCATGGTACTTGGAAATTAAAAATACATAGTGCCTTTTTCTTTACTAATAATAATAATGTGAAAGTGTTTGATCTGAATTGTATATTGGAAATTAAAAATGCTAGCCTTCTATTTATGTATTTTTTTTATTTGGTTTGTGTGGGCTAATATGTTGATAGACAGATGATAATTTTAATTTTTTTTAACATTCTTTATAGTTATTTATTTAAATAAATTAATAAGTGGTGCAAATTAGTTCTTCAAGTTACACACACATTATAACTTGGTTGAAAATTTAAAAATGAAACAGTGCATGTGATTTTCAGCGAAAAGACAGAAACGTTATCTTGTATCTGAAATTTGTCTTCTACTCAAGTTGAAACACAATAATGGGAGTCTTTGTCGTGGACAGATTCATAATAAAAAGAGAAAAGCAGGGAGAAATGATATGAGTAATAAAGTAGCAAACAAACCACATAAAAAAGTTGTATTCTCTACAAAATAAAATGACTATATATATGCATTACATAAGTTGGATGAAGTGCCAGAGATTCAATTCGATACCAATTAGAATTTTTGTTGATATTAAAGATTGGAGAGTGCCCAGCTACCCTTATTCTTATGTTTACTTAAGTATTTAGAAATAGATAAAACCAATCATATATACAAGAATAAAAAAAATGAAAAGAATAATTTTAATATAGTTAAGATTTTGAAAAAGACTGATTTATAATAAAATGAATAGATATTTGTGGATTATTCAGAGAAAGACATCTACATAATAATATACATTAAAAAAAAGTTATGCCAAATCATAAACATTTTTATTACTTGAGTAATAATTATGTGATATCAACTCAATATTTATAATATTAAATAAGATTTAATAATATTGTGGCTGTAACGAGATCATGTATGCCTGTATATAGGATCATACACGTAGCATTAAAGAAGAAATACAAATAAATATGACTATTATACATATTTCTTAGGGTTGAACTCATAATGTAATGGGAAATAGTTAGGTTTATCGTGGGTCAAACTCTTAGTGTAAGGACTCAGTGCTTTTTGGTTAAAAATGGTAAGGAATTCTTATAATGACCTATGATCTACTTCATTCTCAATAGCCACATATTGCACTCAGTTTGTGTGAGAAACCCTATCACCTAGATATTCCTTGTAGTGCAACTAGCATTGTCTTGTTCATGTATACTTTATATATATATAGAGGTTCAACTTCCATTGTTGGACTACGTAGCTTGTGAAAATGTCAACTAAAAAAATAGAATAATTACTAATTAACAAATTAATAGATTTTTCGCTAAATTTTCAAAAGTTATATTTGTATAATAAATTATACAATAATTTATATAACATCATTTTTTTTCTTCATTTTTTCTCATTATATTTATATCATTTATTAATGATAAAAATATAGATACTAAAATGATGTTATACAATTTATTATACATGTATTATTATTCAATTTTTATTAATAAATATTAAAAACTCATGTTTAAATCTAATTCTATTTAACGAGATTTTTTTATTATATATATATATATTTATTTATTTATAAATAGCTATTAAGTGTAGTTATAATGGTAATTCTTTCCATGTCATGACTACTTTAATATGGATGTTTAACAACGTTTGAGGCATTCAGTCATTCACTTAGCATTAACTTGATTAAACTAATTTGTCCCAAAAAATGTTATTAAAACTTTTTATTTCTTGTGATTTTTTAGATGATTTAAGTTCTAAATATATTTTTCCTTTTAAAAAATTTATAAATATATTTTTATTAAATAAAGGAAAAATAAATGGAAAACCACCCATTTTCATTTTCTTTATAATAAGATACGTTAGGATCATAAAAATATAAATTCAATTTTATTAAAATTATTTGAACGATTAAATTAAACAAGTGAAGATACTAAATCGAAGATGATAATTAAAAACATATTTTTAATATTACATAATGTATTAAATAACCAACATGTATAAAATTAAAATAATGTAAAATTTAAAATTAACATAAAAGAATCGCATTACAACTATTTTACCTTCCTTTAAACTGGATTTGACTTTTTGTTGTTAATCAAATTTTTATTTCACCAATTTCTTAAACTATTCATACCATCAAGGCATCAAACTAACAGATGGTCAATCAAATTTTTAGAATCAACAGAAAAATTTAATCAAAATTTTCAGAAACTTGGTTGTTGAGTTGAACTAAATGGAATTGTTTCTTCTCTAATTCAAAAGAGGGGAAACCATTTCAGATTTTGAGTGTATCGTGCTTCCACTTTTCAAGTTCAGCTTATACGACACCGTTCTGACGCCGCCAAAACCAATGTCTCTCTCCAATCTAAACGAATAATAAATCCACGCGTAACCAAAATATTACTATTAGAACCTCTCTCTCTCTGACAAAAGACACGTATTCAGTATTCATTCACCTCGGTCTTCTCTGCCGCGGACCCATTACGACGAAGCCGCGCACGATTCCAGCGGAACAAACTCTCCGATTCTTCCTCCAAATTTTCCCGAGAAAATCTCGCTCCCAGAAAATCTAGCTCACTCTCCGTCATCCTCATATATCCACACCACCTCACTCTCATGGATCGGAGGAGAAACGCGAGTCCTGTCTACGCGCGCCAGTGGAGCGGCGGTTCCAGCAGCACCGGCTCCTCCTCTCCGGCCATGTCGCCGGCTCATCCTCAGTCGCGCCTCGGTTCCACCGGTCTCTCCACCGTCAAGCGCACGCAAAACGTCGCCGCTAAAGCCGCCGCGCAGCGCCTCGCTCGCGTCATGGCGTCTCAGAACGCCGTCGCCGATGACGGCGAGGATGACGACGATCTCGATTTCCGCTTCAGCGCTCCGCCTCCTGCCGCTCTCTCTTCTTTCTCCGGCAGCAGTAACAGGAGCACCAGCGCTAATGCTGCCGCCATTCCTCCGATTTCGGTCGCCCGGCCTAACAGATCTCCTTCTCCTGCGGTAATTCTAACTGCAATTGTCGTCTGTGCTTTGTTCTGTTGCGTTTGCTTGATTATTTGCATGGATTCATCTGTTGAATTGTGAACAAAAAAAATGACACGTATTCGAGACGATTTTGAACATAGGCATGTTTTAGTGGTTCGTGGTTTTTAGTTTTTGATGGCGGTAATAAGGATTGAGTGAGATCTTAGTTTTGGATTGTCACTGTTGCTGCATGTTTGTGGATAGATTCAATTTGTGTCACGGAGTTCTTGTTGAGCTAATAGGATTTTGATGTTTTTATTAGTTAGGTCGGAACTTTGTAGAGCATACTCATTCGGTTCGTTCAACATCAGCTGGAAGGCCGGCTGTTTCGGTTCGCTCAGCGGCAGTGGTGCCACCGAACAAATCCACAATCCGAACGCCTATGGCTATACCGCCTATTGATCCTCCTACCAATCGGAATAGAGACAAAAGGTACTGTGTAGTTAGGTCCCCCCTTATTTCTTATGCTTTTGGAGCTATGGTAATTGATTAGTGAGCTTTTACGTCTTGAAGCATTTTCCAAGTTGAGCCGATGGTAGTGTAACACTGAAGCTGAATCATCATAAATTTTAAAGAAGGCAAAAAATACCAAGGAATGCCTTAGGTTGGTTGTCAAGGATTTAAAAATAAAAAAAATTTGAATGACAAGTAAAGCTTTTTTAAGTTTCTAATGTATGAATTGGGTTTTAGGGAATAGCTTTTTTTCTCAGAAATAATGGTCTTTTCTTTTTCTTCAAAAGCTACCTCATGAAGAAAGGAAAAATAAGCTAAACCAAACATGCATGCGATCAATTTTTTGTTAAATTATTTCCATTTTTTTTATATTCTTGAACAAATTACAAGGTACTCTTTTGTTGGGCCCTTAAAAGAATTAAAAGAAATAGACATCCAAAACACTTGTGACTTGTAACAGTATTCAGTGACTTGTTTGACTGTGTTATCTCTCCATAATTCAAAAATTACCCCAAAGATGGGACGTTGTCATAAGTGGATAGTTCTCTTAAGTTTCAAATACATTATTGTGTGTGAAGCCATCACCCAAGGTCAAGGCCCTGTTCTCACAAAATCATTGTGATTCTATCTTCCTGTGCCATATTTTATTCATGAGCTATATAGTTTATAAGGAGGTTGAGTAAACGATCTCTAGTTGGGATTTGACGAATTTTTCTTTTTCGCATGCATTTTATTGATTCTTTATGATGTTAGAATGAGTTTAATCCTTATTTGATTTATTGAGGTCGTATATCAATCTATATCTGTGCATGTATGCAGACAGAAGTGATAGCCTAACAAACTCTAGTTTGTTGGCCATTAGGAATATTGGTGACCCTCTCTTCTTTGAATTATAATTTTAATCCATCAGTGATGATTTCAGGTTTCAATCAGATATATCTATCAGACCACTTAACTCAAAAGACACAGGAGATCAGCGTGAAGCTTCTGCACTCCGTGATGAAGTATAGTAATTACATCCACCAATTTCAATCTCCAAAACTAAATCTGATGATCCTTATATTGGCTTATGCCAATTCTTAAGCTTTATTTAAGTGTATTTTTTTCACTGTAATTCATAAAGAAGAGTTTTGAAGCTGATTCATACTGATATTGCAGCTTGATATGCTACAAGAAGAGAATGAGAATATATTAGAAAAGGTATGTTCATTTACACTTGAAGTTTGCTTTTTGCTCATGTTATGTGATGTTGAACATAATGCCTGATTATATTCCAGCTAAGACAAGCAGAGGAAAAACGCCAAGAAGTTGAGGCCAGAGCTAGGGAACTTGAGAAACAGGTAATTTTTCCTAGATATTAACTAAACTTTGAAACCTAACAAATGTAGTTTTAACACTGTAGTTTAGATGCCATATTTTGCAAATTTAGTATGCTTTCATTCACAACAGTCTATAACTATGCCCCAAGTTTAGATAAACTTCTCAATAAACATTATATGAGAAGGAAGTAAAATGAATCAAACTTCTCTCATAAGTTCAACTTATGCACCTTTACTCGGTTTTTTTTTTCTCTTGTCACGGGTATCCCTCAGCCCATTGGACCGACTAATCCTGCTCTCAATATTGTAAATGCTGTTGACCCAATGAGTTTTCGCACATGGCTGGGATTGAACACCGGTTCCCTGCTAAGTAGATTGGCCACACCTTTACTCTTTTAGAAGCTATCTCATTTAACTTCTTCAAAAATTGAATACATAACCTAATTTTAACTTATGGAAGTACCTGTTAGGATCTAATTGCAAGACATGAGACTTGTGTCTCACATTGGAAGAATGGGATTGAGTTTCAACAAGCCAAGACAAAATATTATAACTGAATATAAATTTTTATCTCAAAACACAAAGCAGCATAAAGCCAAAAAAAAAAAAAAATTAACAGATAGTATCCAACTCAACTTCAAATGCATTTAAAGCAAGAGAGTGCCATTTAGTGGTGCCACTCACACTATGCATGAACAGGTTTGTTGCAATTGACTGGGTAGACATGCAAGAAGTATTAAGCAAAAAGATAGGAGAAGTGTTTTGCATCATAATGGTTCATGATTTCTTTTATTTTTTTTTCTGTAACTTGCAGTGCAATAATAACGTAGTTTATTCAATCCTCTGCTCTATCCTTTGGTATTCCTCTTCTACAAGTGGTCAAAACAAATATGGCTCCAAAAGTAATATAGATATACATAACAGACCCACTATAATCAAATCACTTCTACCTTATTTTGAGTAACAATTACACCAGAGAAACAATGAGAAAACTACTAAGAACAGACAGATGGCTAAAAAGGAAGGAAATCCTCCGTTGAGGATACAAATGCTATTTGCCATGTATTAATAAGGTAATACAAAAAAGAATGGAAGAAGGTGAAAAAACTGATTACCAAGTTGACGAGCTTCCTCCAGTGAAAGTTCCAAAACACGCTTTGCACGTGGAGTAAACGGAATCTCAACCGCCACAAATCCGCTACCCCTTCCAATTATCTTTTCTACTTCCACACGTGCATCTTTAAGGTTGATCCCCATTGACTTTAAAACCTTAGCAGCAATACCAGTGCCTTCACCAATAAGACCCAATAGAATCTGCTCTGTTCCAACAAAATTGTGACCAAGACGTCTTGCTTCCTCCTGGGCTAGCATAATTACTTTGATAGCTTTCTCAGTGAAACGCTCAAACATGGCTTTGGGTACACATCGGGTAGCTTTTGCTCGCCGTGAAGAAGTTGCAATGGATACCTTAGAGTGAAAATCTATTCCAGGTCTCAACATAGTATCCAAAGGATTAAAAGTACGAAGTCCTGAGAAACCTGACATTCTTAATCCATTTGTTCGTAAAGCACTCATCATTTTGGTTGATCTTTTTAATTTTCCTGACCCCTTATGCTGACCATGCCTATGCTCAGCTACTACACCAGGGACATTAATTGACTGAGCCAAAACCCTAGCCATGATTCCTGAATAGCCGGCTGCATGTTTTGATGAAACATATTAGCAACAAGTAAAACACCAGAAGCAACACAGAATGCAATCATATAGGCAAGCAAAAACGTTTCAGGATTTTAGAATCAGAACATCAATATTTAGGACAAAATTTCAAAATGTGTGATGCACATAAAAGATATTTCAGAACATATACAATGAATAACAAAGACATACACGACAAGAATCAATATCCTAAAATCCAGAAATCCTAGTCCACAGATGCAATAAATTGCCTAAATAGTCTAACAAACAAATGCCAAGAAACACATTTATTTCAAAAAGAACCCTAAGTTGGAGGAATGAAGTTGTAGCAAACATAGTACAATGCCCACGTTAAGATCGATAACTCTAAGAGGAATCAAGCGTTACTTCAAATGGTCCTTTTCAAGTTGATAATAACAAAAGAGAAAATGTCCTGGGCGATTAGGGGGTGTGGGTATTAATACTTAAAAAAAAAAAAAAAAAAAAAAAAAAAAAAAAAAA